GTCAAAGGTACGTGGGAAAAGGTAGAGAAATTTTGTTGGAGGGTATTTTTACTAAACAGTACAGCAGTGACTCATGCAATATTGCTATATGAGAAACTCTGAAAAAAAACCCACCAGAAACTATTTTTTTTCCCCCTCCTTAATATTGTTCTTCTGCTGGTTTGCAGAACTATATTTAAAAAAAAAAAAAAAGAAGTAGCATGACTATAATTACAGGAACTAGTACAGCATTAGCTGTTCTCCCCTCTCATCTGCAGGTATGTGTTTGTTTTCCCTTTTGTGTATTTGATGGAATAGTGCTACTGCAGATGGGCCAAGTAGATTCCCGGGGAACCGTTAACAGGTTTTATGATTTGTATTTTGATGATTCATACATTCATCAAATGCGCTGTTGCTATTAATATTCACCCAGGGCACTCCTGCCCCCTGTGTGGGTGCTCCCCTGCTCTCCGTTGCAAGGATCTTGCCTCTGAAAGGTGCGTAGCAGCAGCACCTGGGATTTGGAGGGTGGTAAAGGCCGCTGGCCGATTAGCGCGCGGAGCTCACCGTCTGAAGGAGCTGCGGCTTTCGTTTCGTTTTTCAAAATAATGTTGTTGACCCGAAATCACCAGTCGGCGTGGCGGGGAGCCGGGCGGCCTTCGGGGCTGGAGCCGGGCGCCCCCTCCGCGGGCAGCCGCCCCCTTTGCCCGCAGAGATGCTCCCCGCAGCCCGGGCACGCTGCCGCGCAGGGGCACGGGGGGCAGAGCCAGACACCTCCCTCGCGTCCCCCCTTTTGTCTGGGGCCGGGGCGCCCGGGGAAGGGGCCGTGTGAACTTCCTGGGCGCCGCTGGAGCGGGAAGGGGCGAGCGCCCGGCGCGCCGGGCCCCTGCGCCGTCCTGCTGCCTTCGGGGGCCGCGCAGGAGAAATGCATAAATAATTAAGCCAAGGTACTTACACACACATGTTTTATGGCAAATGGCTGTGTGGTTCGTGATCATTTTTTCCAGAAACAGGTTTTATGATAATATAGTAAAAATATTAAATTAGAAAATGCCTCACTAAGGGTGATAAAACCTTACTACAGTGGAAATAGGTAATTATCCCCTCTACAGCCTAAATGACAGTTTAAAAGAAATAAAAATGTTAGTGCTCATTACTTGCTTTTGTAGGTTGCAATAAAGGGTAAGTTAAATTTTAATTCAAGGAAGACCCCTGTATCGACCTGCTTCTTCCACACTCTCTACCTGAGGTGTAAGTGCTGTTAATTACTCGCATAGGTTATTCCTCAGCACATTGGTAAGACCAGCACCTCTTTGTGCTAAAGTCACCTTTCCTTCGTCTGGAGGTAGCCGACTTGCAGTGGGGTGGGTTGTTTCAACTCAGTGGCTCAAGTCTGATGTTTAATGTATGTGGGTGGAGGAGAGAAATTTTACATTTTTTAACCAAAATCCCAGTTCATTATGCATAGCCTTAAGGGGGCTGAAAGTATTAAAATCCACACTTACCCCGGTGAATTGAAACAGAGACAAGGTTAAACCTGGAGGATTGATGAGTTTTACTCTCTGCATGGTTAAATCCTGCTGAGGGGAGATGCTGTAGAAGAAAGGTAGCCTAGATGATGAGGAGAGGGAAAAAAAAAAGGTTGGTTTGGTTGTGGCTTTTTTTGCAGGGTGAAATATGGGTTCTGTTTCGGGGGTGGTGGGGTTACCCGATTTCCCTCCTCCTCCTGTCACTCTCTGCCAGGATGTCTGCCCTTGCTGTGTTATTATCCAAACAGCTCCACTGGAATTTTTACTTCAGCAGAGGTTGCCAGCGTCGTGCCTGGGAGGATGGGGGCTGGGCTTGCACCCACAAAACCTGGGGCACAAATGTCAGAGTCTCTCAGTGCTGGCAACATTTCTCTGCCAGCGAAGACAAATTCTTGCTCGAAGTCTCCCTGGGCCCTGCTTGCTTGAAAAATGATTGTTTATTTAAAATCCGTAGGATCGGAGAAAATTCAGCATTGATCCCTGAACTCTTGTGCCCATCAGAAGACTATCAAAAAACAAAAATGAAGACAGAAATCTGTGGAGACTGGCTCTCCACCAGTGGGGAAAGGCCAAGGCGGGCTGCAAAGAAACGTTACTTTTGGCTTTTGCGTGCTCACTGGGGAAGGACAGAAACCCTTGCTGTCTGTGGCTAGTCTCTGTGGGGCTCCCCAGGGTGTGCACGTTGCATTTGAACTTCCTTATGTTACTGAGGACTGTAAAAAAAAATGAATGACTGTATAAGAAGAGAAGGGCATCCGTCGAGAAACTGCAGACGGGAGCCCCTCTGTGCCGTGGGGGTGATGTTTGGGAGCAAAGTCCCCTTTGAATTTTGCAAAATGCCTTTGAGGTGTGTTTTGGCGAGCGGAGCCAGAGGGTTTGAAGCCTGTTACCTGTGAGTGAGGCTCGCGGCCGAAATAAAAGCGGTTGCTGTGGCTCAGTGGCCCCGGGGTGCGGAAGGGGAGCGGAAGACGGGCGCGTGGTTCGCTGCGAGCGTGGCCGGGCTGAGCAGCTCAGCCTGGGAGCGGGGCCGTGCCCCCGGCAGCGCTAACCCCGGCTCCAAAAGAGGATTTCTTCAGCCCAAGCGACTCAGTGGCCGGGGGGGAGCCTGTGGCTTTATAGCCCGGACAGAGACCATCCCCACATCACGTCGGTTGGAGGGCGGCGGAGGCGGGAGCACTGGGGAGCCCCCCACGCAACAGCCGTGTCCGCGGAGCCGCGTGGTGGATCTGCAGCGGTGTTGAGGCCGGCTGCGCAAAAATCTGCGGGGAGAGCCTAGCGAGCGCGGAGGTGATGACGTTCCTCGACAAAGCACGAAGGGACGGGAGCGAGTCCGGGCGCCAGGCGCTGGGAGTTATTTGATAGCTGAGAATGGAACTTGGCTGTTCAGTGCCTGCGCCCAGCACCGGCAGCATCCCTACGGCGGGAGGGCAGATGGAAACCATCCCGAGGAGGGGAGCCGGGAGGGTGCCGGCGTCTGTCCCCCCGCCTCGCGCGGCTCCCGCTGCCGAAACCAGCAAAGGGGGGTGCCTTCGGCATCGTGGCTTATCTTCCGTGGGTTGTTTTCCTCGCTGCAGTTCAGTTGCCGTGTTTAAAACGAGGCCTCTGCCCGAGGAGAGGGGAGAAGGAATGCAGTCGGTGGTGTTTCGCTGAAAGTGCCCAAGCCGCTCGGCCGCCTCTGCCGGGCGCGAACTGCGAGTGTTTGTCGGCTTTGCCCACCCGAGTGTGAAATGATCTCGCGAAACACCAGTTTCGGCATTGCCCGGCTGTGGAGAGGAGCCCCACGCTGCCCAGGAAGCTCCTCGGGACGGCAGCACGAGTGGGAGCGTTTGCAGGGCCGTGGTCGTCGGGGGACCGGAGAGCATCACGCTGCATTTTCCTTCCGATCATCTGACGGAGCCGTAAAGTCGGGATGTCCTTGTCGGCAGTCGCGCCTCTTCCAACCCTCAGTGGAAACGGCAAAAGCGAGTGGCGTGTATCGGTTGATAGGGAAGATGAAAAATGTTGTGGGAGTAGCTGCGGTGTTCACTCTCCCTCCTCCTTTTTTTTCTGTCAAGTCTCAAAAGTTTGCAGCTTTTCATGGGTCAGTTCTGCTTTCCAGAAGCGTTTTGATTTTGCGTTTGTGTTACACTCGCCAAGACCTGTGTGCACGCTCCCGATCTAACACAGAAACTCCAGGCGTGGTTTCACAGTCTCGGCTGAGCTCTGCACACAAACCACGGCGTCGAGCGTTTTGTTGGGTAGGGAGACGCATCCCTCGCCACCGACTCATTTTCTGAGGGTAGAGCAGCTGATTGCTTAATTAGCTTCTAAATGAAAATTAATTTAAGAGATGTGGCCCTGTGAATGAGAATGGTTTCTTCTCTCAGCGGTCCGTGCGCGTCTGTCCATCCTCCCGCACTGCTGGAGCGGACACTCTGTGCCTTCTCTTCCCGGGATTAATGGCTGGCGTTTCTTTGTTCAAAATTTAGAAGTTCCTTCTTTCAGGAGGCTGACAGGTAACTTTGTCCAGAAGCAGACAGTTTTCAAACCCGTTGCCATCTTTTATTGATCTGTGCAGGAGCAAAGCATCAAAGCAGCCCCTAGCGAGAGTGCTCCGTGTCGTGCTCTTGATTGAGGAGGCAGCCAAAAATCCCCCTACCTCCGTCGGCTCCGAATTTCGGCCTTCGAAGCCGGTTTTGACTCGCTCTTGAGTGGTGGCAAAGTCTCTTTTTCTCTGCCTGTCCCGGTGGTTTTGTCCTGGCCCGGCGCCGAGGCGCGGGCGCTGGGGTCGGTGGGTTTTTGCTCCGCTCTGTGCGCTGGCCTCTGGCAACAGGCTCTTGCTTTAGAAAACGCGTGTGCAAAAAACAAGGCTCTCCCGATGCTTTTCCCTTGACTTCCAAAAATGTGTGATTTATAAAACTGCTCTCTCTTTCCCCCATCTCTCTTCTGAGGTTACTTTGGTTATAAAATTAAAGATAAATAACACCAGCCCACTTTTTTTTTTTTTTTTTTTTTAAAGGGAAACTTGCTCCCGTTATCAGAATTGCCGCATATGCGCTATTAATTGGAATCTTGTTGCTGGGTCATTTTCATTGTTTTTCAAGTACCGTCAAGTCCAAGAAAATGTATGAAAACTAAATTATAGTCCCACGTAGCCTGTCTGATTGAATCCTCCTTATGGCTCTGCGGTCTCATACATCCTATTAAAATATTCAATCTTGTTTTCTTACTTGAAGAGGCTGTCTGCAAAGGGCAAACTTACAGAAAACCTCATTCTCTGGAGATACGGTATCCAGCCACACTGAAATATTTACATATTTCTGTACTGTGTGTGATTGGTCTTACGGAAGTTCTCCCCTTTGCCTGTATTTATTAATAAAGATTGTTGAATGCATTTTTAATTATACAAGGCCTTGTCGTTTTAAGGAGCGGATGGTTTTGCTGGCAGCCTCTTGCTTGCGTTTTGATGTTGAAAAGTAACTTTTCCCCCCTCGTCCTTCCTCTTTTCCCCAGGACTGAGCTTTATCGTTCGCTGTTTGGAAAGCTCACGACTCCCGAAGAACCGGAGCAGAATTAGTGCCGGGCCCTGGCGCCAGGCTCCACCGCCCCGCAGCACCCCCAGCAAGGGCCCTCCACCTCCGGTTTGTTCCCCACAACCTGGCGGAAGGAACGTTCAGTACGGTTGCTGCTAAATCCCAGGGGCTCAGAAAGAAGAGTGGGGGGTAGGCACGTGGCTGGGCTAAACGCCCTCCTCTCTAGCTTTGAAACGAACTCTGCTTCCTCCCAAAGCCAATCCATTCTTAACTAGTCTCTTTAAATTCCTGACCTTGATTTTGCAGCCTGCTCAGCAGTGTTCTGCTGGGGGCAGGGACGTGCGCTTCAGAGCAGCCGGGCCCAGCAAACCCCCCTGCAATCGGGTCACCCACGTTTGTGTTAAATCCTCGGGGATTTTCATTTGGGGGGTTGGAGGGGGGGGTGTTCAAGCGTGCTGCTCTGGTCGTTGGCGGGCCGCATATCTGGAACGTGTGACTTTATTTTTCACTGAGTCAAGAGGATTTAAATGTCATTTACATAATTAACATGGCCTTAAAACAGAGAGAAGGTGCTCTCCCTTGCAGACAGCCAGAGCTCCCAGTTCACGCTCCCGTTCCTGAGCGAGCGCTCGCTGCACACAGGGACATTTGCTGGCTGGTGATGAGCACAGCGCGGGCCACGTCTGGGGATATTTCTGCAATTAGAACATATTGGTGAATTTTTCAGTCCAGCATTGATCCTGTACACTTAATTATTTCTGCTGATCATGACTCTGAGCCATCCTGTCTTCACCGTCACCGCGACACACTGCTGAAGGATGCCAGCACGAATGTGAAACTGGCCAGAGGAGATGACTCACTTGAGGGGTTTTGTGGGGTTTTTATATCCAAAGGTCAGAAGCCGGAAATTAAATCCCCATAAGGGGAATTTGCTCGCCTGCTGTGATCAATCTGAGATGGAGGTTATCTTGCGTAAATAATATGTGCATATAGATGTGAGTAAGGTGGCCATTGCTTGTGACCACATGAACTGCACTGTCTTTGTTTTGCGCGATCTAATTAAAACGCTTTGTAAACTGATTGCCCAGGTTTGCTCAGTGCAGAAGAGGTACCAGCAGCCCCGGCCTCTCGTGGCCCCACCAGCACAGGGTCATTTCTCTGCTGTCTTGGGCGTCACTTTGCACAAAGGTGGTTTTGTGGTTTTTGGTTTTTTGTTTGGTTGGTTTTTTGTTTGTTTTTTTTCCCTTGCGTAAGTTACAGCTTGCCAGCTTTTTAGTGGGCAACTAAATTTTCATTTTTACGTTATTTTTTCTTATTAAGCTGAAATAAAAATGCATTCCATTTTCAAGTACGGAACAGGTTGGAGCGAGGAGGGGAGCCGGCTCCTCCACGCCCCGTGTGGCCCCGGCAGCAGCCGATCCCTCGGGTCTCCTCGCGGCGCTGACCCCGCTCCCTCCGCCCCTGCCGCGCTCCGGCCGTGTTGCAGCACAGTTCTATCTTTCCCTTTGGTTTCACTGGTTTTGGTTTTCCCCGCCCTTGGAAGACTTTCCCCATTGCTGCATTGTTGCGCTTCACTGTGTCCCTGGAGCTGCCTGCAGAGCTGATTTTAATTAATCATTTTTGCACCTCATCGTTACAGATTGACGTCTCCTAGTCGCCTGCTGCCAGCAAACACCTTCCCGATACCTTCGGGGTCGTGTGGAGCAGAGAGTCCCACCCCAGCCGGGGCGACCCGGCTCAGCCGCAGAGCCTTGGCTTGAGCCGTGGTTGGTGTGTGAAATCTTGGGTTTAAAAGCAGAAAAAAAAGGACACCGGTGTACAGCTGCGTTTCTGGCTGAATTCCGCCTGCGTCTCAGCACAAAGCAGCTGGGGAGAGCCCCGGGGCGGGTGATGTGAGGGGCCGGTGGCCAGTACAGACCCAGTTCCTCTGGGCGAGGAGGCAGTGTGCGAGCCCCCAGGTTTCTTTTCTGACTTTTTTTTATTTTATTTTTTAAAGCCAGGAAGGCAAATTCTGATAATGGGATTAAACTCAGCTCCTCCAGCCAGTGCGCCCAAGAACACTACCTGGATTTTGCCCGTTCTTTAGGCAGTCGCGGGCCCGGTGCCGCCTGTGCCAGGAGGAGCTGTCGCCTCCACGAAGCCACCGGAGCTTTTCCTTTCCCCGTTCCGATCTGGTGCCGGTCCTTGGCCCCCTCGATCAACGCGGGGAGAGGCGGCAGCACCGGGTGGGCTCCCCACCCTGCGGAAGAACGTAACATTTTTCTTGAGAAAGTAAGTGCCAAGGTGAGTGTTGACTTTGTGTGGAAAACAGACGTATCGTGGGCGAATAAACCTTCATGCTCGCTTGCAGCGAAGCAGCAGCGGCAGCTCTCGGGGAAGGGCATTGATTTTGCCCACCCCACTCCAGCTCGCTGGGCAGAATTTGCCAGGTGGATCCACAGTAAATGTCACGGGCGGCTCCTCGCTGCTGCCCGCTCTCGGGCAGGGGCCGGCTCACGCAAGTTCGTTAGCGCGCCGGGTCGCTTAGTTTGAGGGGGTGATGCCCCGGGGCTGCACCCCCGGGCCTCCCCAGCTGCTGCTGCCTCTGCGTGTCACCATCCTCCGTGGCAAAGCCTGGCAGTGTCACGTCCTGTGTCCCCCGCCCCAGCGCGACCCGGCGGTGCCGGGGGGGTCCCCACCCCTTGCCCCGTCCCTGCGGCCGGTCCCCGAGCAGCAGCGGAGCCGGGTGGGCTTCCAACATCGCTGCAACGGCGCGGCTTAATAATAAACAATCCTGAAAGGCATCGAGGGGGGTGAATTAGGTGCTGCCGAAGTTCGGGTGGGTGGGTGGGTGGGATGGGTTGACGCTGCCCGCGCCGTCAGCGGCAGCAGGGGGGCTGGTTGGCAGACGCGCCGTGTCCTTACCCTGCTTCAGGGTTTGCCGTGCGGGCAAGTTGTCGGGGCGCTGCTGGGACGCGCTGGGCGCTGCCACCCCGGGCTCTGCCACCCCTCTCCAGTTTGACTTCTGTGTCCTTTAAAGTTTTAGCACCAGGGCACTCGATTTTTTTTTTTTTTTTTTTTGAGAGCGGGAGCTGGATGTGATGTTAAAAGGGTAATGTGAAACACTTTAAATGTGATAACTTCGCGTTCATATTGTTTGAAGAGATAAGAGTCAAAGCCCTGCTAAGCATGCTTTTGAATTTACTTATCAGTGTTTAAGCAGGCTTCTCTCCCTGCCACCCCCCCCACCACCTGGGTAGTGTGATACACGGGGAGAACCTGGGCCGGCAGCGGGGGCTGAGGCGGCCCCCGTTTCATCTGCTGCCCTTGCCGGGGAGGGCAGCGCTTTATTCCTGGCATGAAAATGGGCCCTCACCTGGATGTGGATGTGCTGCAGGAGCAAGGGCAGCCTGTGTAAACCCCGAGTAACAACTCATCAGAGGCGCTCCGGCAGGGACAGGCCCCTGTCCATCCTGCGGGGCTGCGCCCGCGCGTTAATGAGGGCACAGAGAACCGGGCTGATTTACCACTAAGTTTTCCTAATGCTGCCAATTAACAGCAAGTGAGATATTTTTCCCCCCAATAGAATATTAATTCTTTATTAATTCATGATACAGCTGCTAATTAGTACCTACACAACTGGGCATTACACCTTTGCAAAACATTGCACAGCAACTAGAAGGTGTATTGGGGAATTACGTGTGTGATGGGGAGGGGGAGAATGGGGGACTTGTATTAATCCTCTCCCCCCAACCCCACAATAGCAAAGAATTTCAACTTTCAGACAAACAACTTCATTTACAAGTGTGTCTCTAATTAGCTGCAGAATTAGTAAAGCAGAGTTTTCCCCCCATAGATCGGCCAAACCCCTGAGGGAGGCTGTGGAATAGAGAGAATCGCATTTCCAATTATTTTGTTGAATTGCTAATTTAGTTATTGTGCCTGGCGTAATTGTGATGGGTATTGGGTGTGCAATTCAATTTGTTTTAAATATTTGTGGGAAGGCTGATCAGTAATGGAGCTGACCTATTTCATGGCCCAAATTGAGAGAAGAGACTAAAACAAAAAACAGCTACAAAGCCACAGTTTGTCTCAGTTTTTATTTTGATGTCTCTCATCCCTCTTAAGACTGTTGATGCAACAAAAGGTTCACATTAAAAGATGATGGCACTTTGATCTTGGGCTTTTGAGAGCTTACAGCTTTGGTACTTCTTTCCTTGGCATTTTAATATGTAGATATTTTAGGCTAAAGAGTTTTAAATGCGTTTCTGGAGTTCAGTAGGGTCCGTCCCCTCACCCAGCCCCCCGTTATGTTTGTTAAGGTGATTTATGGTTTTTAACTGCCAGGATTCCGGTTTGTGAAATGGGTGGAAAGTAACTGCTGGAGTTACCACCAGGCTCACCTTCCACACGGGGAACTTCTGAAAGGTGTTTGTGTCACCGCGCCCCGGGGTGGTGGGGACCCTTCGGTCACTGCAGGGTCGAGGATGACAATAAATCCGGGGAGGAGGAGGAGGAGGAGGAGGAGGAGGAGGAGGAGGAGGAGCGGGCCCGGCTGCCGGGCGGGCGCTGTGCCGGTGGTGGGACGAGGAGCTGGTCCCTCTGCCCGGCTCAGCGCTGGGGCCGCGCAGCCTCCTCAGTAGGAGAACGGCTTTTCTCGGGCTTTGCCCCGTGGGCTCACAGCTCAGGTGGGTTATTTCAAACCTCGGCAGAGTCTGAGCAGGTGAGGGGCACAGCCCAGACCACGCCGTCCTTCGGCTCCATCCCGGCGCCAGCAGCCCCCCCTCGAGAGGCGCCGCATAAAACTCCTCGTTCTTGCCTTAAGGAAAAGCAGAGCTCCCCGAGGGGTGCTCAGGACAAGGGTGACAGATTTCCACTCCCGGCACCAGCGATGTAATTCATTCTTTTTATTAAAAGAAATTGAGGTAAGTGAAATACTTCAGCACCAGCGAGAACCGTATGTACCGAGGGTGGTTTCCCCGCCGCCCCTGCCCCGCTGGGTACCCGACCCACGAGCCGGGATGTGGCCACGGCCCGGCAGGCCCCGGCCTCCCCAGGGCTCCGATGGTACCCGGGGGCTGGTTTTTTGGAGCTCCTTTACCCCGGAACGAAGCGGAGCCTGACCCAGCGCCTCTAACAGAAGCCAAGGGAGCTGCTCTGACCCAGCAGGTGAAAGACTTTGGCAGCGACAGCTCCCAGCCCAGGGAGAAGGAACGGAGCAGCCGCACCGGGACGTTTCCTCTAACACCTGCAGACGGCCTGGATCAGGGGCTGCCCGGTGCCACCACCACGCAGGACACGGTGACGATGTCGGGCAATCCTGGCACCAGCAGAGGAGCCCGGCCGCCTGCCCGCGCTGCCCTGCCCGGCGTCTGTCCTGTGTGCCCCGCTGCAGCCCGCCTTGGCATAAGTAAAAGCGTCTTTGGGGGTTGTTCGGGGGGCTCTAGTGGCAAAAAATTAAGTCTTTAAAATCAAATTAGGGTTCTGAAGGAAAAGGTAGTCCTTCAGGTGCCACAGCTCCACTGGCCACGGGCAGGGCTGCCTGCAGAAGGCAACAGTGCAGGTGTCAGGCACTGGCATCACCATTCATTAACTCGCTCAGAGAAACATCCCTCCTGCCTCATTCTGTTGTAAAATCTGAAATACTTTTCAGACAGTCATTGGCGTAAGCGCTCCAGTACTAGACCAAGTTCCGTAACAGTAGCTGTGTATTAGGGGTTAACCGGGCTGCCCTTTAAAGTTCCAGCTTCTCTGATCTTTTCAGGCAGTCAGGAGGCCCAGGAAAATAAAAAAGTGGAGCAGTAAGGCAGGGGCTGGGGCAGGGGGCAGCCGGCCCTGCCCTCCCCTGCCACAGACACACCTTGTCCTCACCAGCTGCCAAGAGTGGCCGCTGGAACGGGATTGCCAAAAAGAATTTTCCTTCTCTTTCCACCTTCCCACGTGAATAAGGGCAGCCCCCTCCCCAGCCAGGCACGGGCAGCTCCGGGCCGGAGGTGGGCGATGGAGAAAAACTTTGCTCAGCTGCATCAGCCAGCTTCCCTGGCGCAGTGCTCGCCCCACTGCTGTGTTTGTCCTGTCCCCTCCCGCGCCCCGGCTGCAGC